ATCGGATGAATATCGACGTGAAGTGATTCGGTCGCAATGAAATCCGGAGGTAGAAAAATATATTTCCCGATTTCAGCTGATGGCAGAAAATGAGACGTTATGCACTCCAAGCCCGAGTGTGTAATAACTCATAAGTGACTTCATGCAGGGAAAGACCGATTTTGCTGGAGTATCTATCTAAAAATTGAGGTAGATACAGATATAAAAATAATTTTGTTGGACCGTCAAAATACATAATTATACACTCAAGCAATGTTATAAAAAGTTCTGATATACCTCAACTAATTTTAGCGGTCTACATAATTATTTTGATGATCCAAAATTATATTTTCAGATCTAGTTCTGTATCTAGTTAAATTTTTACATGCTGCAGCAAAACTGTTCTTTCGGTATATGATTTAATTTTTCGTGTAAAAGTAACACTATACTACACATATAAATATATGTAAATTTATCTTACATGCAATACACGGTATTATTTCTACACGGAAAACTGAGTCATTGGATGAAAAGAACAATTTTATTAAAATGTCTAAAAGTTTAGTTAGATACAAATCTGAAAATAATTTCGTTGCACTAATAATTTTATGTAGGAAATTTAAACATACTAAGCACTGCTGCAAAAATTTGGTATTCAAGGAGTCAGCTGAAGCATTCTGCATACATAATTACAACAAAATTATTTATAGATCTTTATTTAGATAAATTTTTAGATGTTTCGACCGTTCTTTCCGTGCGACGTGTGTAAAGTTACTTATTACTACATACTTGGATTTGCAGTGTAACTGTCGTAGTCGTGAATAGATAAGGTAAGGCAAAAAGAACGTATACGTAATCGCATCTATACAATAGCCTATCATGACTTATGTTTTTTTCTGCATTACATCCACACGACTACATCAGTTACATCTCATTCTCTGTCACTATAGCCTTCTTACTTTGCAAGATTTTGTAGCTGAGCATAGCTGGTATTTCCGGAAAGCCTGGGGGGCACCGATTTCGCAGGTAGATCCGTACGCATGATCGATTCCGCGCGCGAACGTAAGTACGCCAGATGGAGTGAATAGACGACGACGAATTTGTCGATGCACACGAAGATCCCATGACGCAATATTCCGCGCCGTTGGTTTCCGATACCGATGTAAATGATCTGGCGTTACGTAAAAGCGCCTCGCCAACCGCATTACCGCGTTGAAGTATAGCAGCGAGATAACCCGATCGCGCGTCGATAGCTTGACACGAAATATTGGATTTGCTCTCCCCGTTTCATTGCACGTCGACGAGGTTTTAATGCAACTCATGGCTATTCGATATTCGAACTGTTTATAGAGCTCTCAATAATGAAAGACGCTCTGAAATAACGGAGAATAACGATGAAGACGTGAAAATGTCGCGGCAGCATGCTTATCAATAATGTAAAAGTTATAACCGAGACACCGCCGCGCATATGAAATTTATGAAAAATCGAGTTCTCGCCACTTTTAAATATATCACGTCTTGTTTGCGTAAAATTCATATTCCTCGATCAAATTTTCAAAGCTTATTTCACGAACAGTCGCAGAAGCAAGAAAATGTTAAAAATATTTAATCGCTAAATTCTCGGTTCTTCCCGGCGACCATCTAATATGTATAACATTCGAACGGTTTAAAGGTACACATGTGAGTTGAGAAGAGGTATGTCGTTCGACCGATTAAAAGACGCATGATTTATATAGCCCCATGAGGAATGTTGTAACGTAACGAGCGCAGTTAACGGGCTCGCGGGCTAAGGATTCAGGCCCAGCACGACGATCGATACAGGAATTGCTGGTTGCATGTGGGACGATAGCGAGGGACACACCTTACGATCACTGCACTTTATTATGTACTAATTCCCGAGATTCCTGAGACGTGGAATCTCTTCTACAATCTTTTTTTGCGTTGCCGAAAAGACCTCTCTATCGAACGTTTCGGTCGATTTCACGCGTCCCCTGAATGAGGATGAGAGGAGGAAAGTGTATGAGGTCGGAATCGAGAAGCGTCGTCGATAGAACGTGACTCGTCGTCTAAGACCGACAATGGAGCTTCTCAATCCGATAAAAGCGTTCCTGGCTGTCGCGTTGATCCGCATTGATCCGGGTGATGGCAATGGTGATTTGTCAACGGTGAGTGAATCGTCGAAAATACAAATATAGATCTATTACTTTATAATAATTGAATTGTACTTTAATTAGGATTTTATTCAGTAGATATATGCTAAAGGCAGCTTTGCCGTAGGGCTGAACTAAGCGAACACTTCAACCTTACTAGTGCAAAGACCTCAGTGGATCGCGCGATAAATGCTCTCCTTAGGCTAAATTGAAACAAGCGATTTTTTTCTGCGAGGTTCATTGCGAGGGCCTTACACGCGTAAGGGTCTCACGCCAGGGCACAATAGCCACTTTCCATCCTGAAACCTCGTTAGTTTTAAAGCCGCCTCTGGTCATAGCTTCTTGTAAGCGATCAGTTAACCGTCACTTTAAGCGACTCCTTCTCGGAATCGATTCTATTAAGTTATTACACTGTTGCTATTGCCATGCTGCACTGCATTGTGATTTTGTGTTAAAGTGGCTCATGATGCTACCTTCTAAAAAAAATTAACAAGAAAAATTAGATAATATTGAATATAATCTTGAACAAGAATGGCATAGATTTTCACTCTGTAGGAATGAGATTTCATTCTTTTGGAATCAATCCAAGGAATGAAGCCTTACTTCATAAAAAGGAGTGAGATTCCATTTTTTTTTAATGGATCTCACTTCAAAATCTTCCTTTAAAAAGAAAAAGAATAAAAATTTGCTACTCTTGTTTGAATGAAAAATTTTCACTCTTTTTTCAAGACCGACTCACTTTATGATTTCGAAGGATTTTAATAATTTCTAATATTATATAGAATCTAAAATAGAATTTATTTTTAACGTTATACATATTGGCGGATATTATAATATACTATTGTTATCGCGCTTACAATGCTATTTGCTGATATCATCATCCTTTATGGGCGGATCATTGCTCTGGAAAATAAGGTTTCCTCGATTACCCCATCAAAGTTTTTGTTCAAATCTAATTCAAGGCGGCACCTGCATTTAATACGAAACGTTATACGGGATCGCGGCTTCATTTCACCTGTAATATAATCCGAAGCGCGGACTACACGTCGACTTACGAGCGCATCCGAGACGGGTATTCCTCGCAACGTCGCCGCTGCCGCCGTCGTCATCGTCGCTTGCCAGCTGCAATTTCGTGCATGTTCGAAATTGCGCGATCGACCGTACGGCGCGAGTAGAGTACAAGCAATCGGACGTTGGAAGAAAAATGCGATTGAATTCTGGATGCTGCGTCTCGCCGTACCGGCAACACGATGTCATTAAACGATCCCCGGCGGGCGGCCGTTCCCGTAAGCGAGACGAAATGAAAAAGGCAAATGGATGCACCGTGCGCCCATTATTACTATTGGCATACGGGATATAGCCTCGGCCGTGCACCATGGTCAAGGGTAATAGTTATTTCCCGCGCCGCGCACTCATGGCTCTCTCCGTTCTCCATGGCAAGCCATGAGATAAATCGGCCACGGTCTCGCACAATCGCGGCGAATCTCCGCGAGTCGAGGACGCGATCGATCTCTCTCCCTCTCGATTTGGATTCAGCCACCCGGTGCTGCAGCAGGTGCGGCTCATTTGAATATTATGTGGAACAAATGACCGACTTCTGATCCGTGAACGCTGCTCCTTCTATTGGGAACCTCCGCACCACGAGGAATAACGTTCCGCGTCGATGCTCTAGATGTATAGACTGCAAGATTATTCATGTGCAAAGTTAATGTTCGCACTTAACGTTTTGTAAAAATTTTTGCCCGACTTACGTCACGCATCGACTCCTGGAAAATGTTAAAGTATAAAGTATAAACTTGTACATGAACCTGGCATATAACAGCGAAATATTTTTCGGCCCATTTCGCCTACCTTACTTCTTTACATACGAAAACTTTAGATGAAATTTTAAGGTAGAGTTTGTTGTAAATTCATTTTTTCAACGTGCTTCGAATGAGGAACAGCGAGGTTCTATTAAAAGACGAGATTTATGAAAGCTGCACGCCGCGGAAAGCAGTGCATACATTTTTTTCAACTAACTACGTCGTAATTTGTAGCATATAGTATGTTGCGATATGCGTTCTAAGATGTATATATTTTATGTAGTACTTTCGGAAGCTTTTTACGATCCTCTTGGCGTAATAAAAGTTACAATAACGGGTTACCTTTATTTAGAGCGTCTCTTAAGTGGTCCAGGCCCGTTATTGCATAAATAGGGTCACTGAGAACGGAAGACAAGAAGAAAGAGACGAAGTTTCTCCCGGGGCGACTCGACGGTAGAACTGGTATTGGATCGTGGTGTGCGTGGATAAGAAATAAAAAACGGATGTTTGTTCCTTTCGTGCACGTGGCGACTATTGAAAATGTCAATGTGATCGTGACGCGTCAAAATTGTAAGATTAATGGCGCGTTATCACCGTCGATTTTCATGCGTCATTCAAGTTTTTATTTATAAGCTTCAAGAAATGGATGAAGATATTTTTTTTAATATCTTCTAATGCTTTTTCCACTGTTAGAAACAGGAAAAAACAGAGTACGATAGTAATGATAAATGAATTGCAGAAAGTATATAACATTTCTTAAAGAGAAATAAACAATAGTGAGGAAATATTATTTTTAATTATTCAAGGGGAATAAAAGAAATTTTTTTTACTGTAGTTATAAAGAAATGAAATAATAATGGAATAAAATAAATAATTTACAAATACACAATTACAAGGAAAATTTGTTGACATTACTTTGATCGTGTTGCACATAGCCAGCACAATTTTTACAAAATACGAAAGATGTAAAATGCAAATGGTTTGATTCGTAATTGAAATCTTTGACGCTGTTTAGAAAGTCAATTTGCATTTACTTCGTCGCTTTACGTTGCAAATTATTTGGTTGCAGGATCGGGCGAGAAACGTTTCCGAGAGATTCACATCCACGACCACATTGACGGTGAACATACGGGACGATGATGATCAAGATCCATCCTTTATTTATCAAGGCTGTATGCTTTTGGATGGCGCCTGCATCAATCCGGAATACTCCGCGTCGGTACGTAAAATGCGATTATAAAAATTAAAAAAAAAACTGCGGCTTCAATTCGAGCATGTATCAACACCGGGGATTTATTTTAACGGTCGTTTTTCTGCCTCTTGGTTTAAAATGGTATTGAAGAATTCAAGTGTAATCGAATACGCCTGCCTAATCGGTCGCCAATATCTCACTGCTCAAATTCACATAGTCAATAAATCGGTGCAACCGGTTCTGCAAGAGCGATTCTCTTTTTCTCTTCGTCAGGTATCGAGCGGAGTACTATCCGGCATACTCAATATCTCGCCTGAGAAAATACAAGCGGTCGACATGGACAGTATAAACGCGCCGATTCACTATTCTTTCCTTAGTGGAAATCCACCGAATTATCGAGATTTCTTTGAAATCAATCCTAATACCGGAGCAGTGAAGCAAATTAAAGCTGTCGACACGACAGTAACGAAGAAGTTTGATATTATTATTAAGGTAAATATCAACATTATATTTTATGTGAAAAATATTTAAAATAATTCGGAATTATTTTGTATAAGTAGATAATAAAGAATTGTTGTGTGTGTGTGTTTGTTCACACAGTTATAAGTAATATAAATACATTCTAAAAGATATGGGAGGATTTAAAGTTTATGTTCATATAATTCTTATCGTGTTCGTGTTGAAAAAACAAAAATTTAACATTATAAGTATGGATTTAACATCAACGTGGTGTTAAATTCACACTCTTGGTGTTTACATCAACACCAACACGGTGAGAATTATATTTAATATCTATTGTATTTTAAATCTACGTATTTTTTAGAGCGCAGTTTCTCTCAATAATTTTCAATAACATAATTAATTAATTTTTTTTACATTAAAGAGTTGCATTTAATAAATAATAATGCAAAATTTTTTGTAATAAATTAAACTCTTTTTTTTTAATTTGCAACATATATATTTAATAACGGCATTTTTTATTCTCTCAAGGCGGTTGAAGTATCGGAAACGAAGCGATCTGCAACCGCTAAATTAGCAATCACTGTCAAGCCGGTCGATAGCAATCCACCCGTTATAACAGCGTCAAACATCGAAGGTTTCGTCGACGAGAATGCTCCGATTGGCACAAAGGTCATCGATGAAAGCGGGAATCCTATTGTTCTCACCGTGTCGGACGCCGATTTGGTGAGCCTAACTTCGTAGATTCCACTGATTTCTGTTTAACAAAGCATCATGATCGAGGTGCGAATTGACCGTTTTTTTTAATTATCTTTATTATTATAGATAAGTTTTGTACTGGTGAAATTTGTGTTACCTATATATATTTGAAATCTGCACCTGCTTCTCTTTTTCTTTTTGTTAAAAAAGAAATCTATTTCTATACCCACAGGGACCAGACGATCCAAAACCGGCATATACTTTCGAACTGACCACAAATTTCTTTGCGATCGATCCTTCCGGCATCCTTGTCGTAAATGAGGAGAATTTGGATCGAGATCCTCCGAGTCCCGGCCGCTTTCGTTTCCAGGTTGTCGCCCGGGAGAAAACGGGTGTGGCTGCGTCATCACCTCTATCGTTCGTCGTGACGTTGAACGACGTTAACGACAATGCGCCTCTGCTTCCAATGATGGCACCCATCACTGTTCAAGCGGGAGAGACGAAGAGACAAATAGCAAAGGTGGCTTCTTTATACTTTTTGACTAACAATTCTGTATGTTCGAGCGTAATAATAATTGCGAGTAATTTGTACTTTTTAGTACTTATCTTAATTATTATTAATTTACTGCTTGTCGGTGCTCCATAATGACCATAATTCTCTTTCTCGCGAGACTCTAAGAGAATTTAATTTCTAATCTCAGGTGGAAGCCACGGACAACGACGAGGGTGAAAACGCGGAGATAACGTATAGTATTTATCATGTGTCAAACAACGGCTTGCATAAGTTCAAGATAGATCCGAAGACCGGAGTTATCGAGTCCGTGAGGAAACTTAACGCTGGTGAACAGTACAGTATTACAGTGCAGGCCACCGACAAAGGTGGCAAGTACTCGCAGACAATCGTCGAGGTGAACGTCATTCCCGGGCCCAACACCAGAAGCCCTGTGTTCCAGCAACCGGTGTACGAGGTGCAAGTCAGCGAGGGAGCCTCCATCAATTCCACAGTCGCGACTATCACTGTGAGTATCCTTGATATGATGTCCTTCTCGTCGGCATTTTATTTTAAAACTTCAACTCTGTGCTCTGACAGAAGCACAGTATCTGCTCGATATGTACTTCATTGTTTTTTTTTTTCCTTTCATCTTTCCATTGCGTTCCATCATTCGATTTATGTTTCATTTTTCCATTTATATTAGTTTTTTCAAATTATACAAAAACATTTTTCATGATTAATTATTTTTTATTATAATGCGAATCTCTTTTTTTTTAATTCTATGAAATTGATCCAAATTGTGTATTTTTCTCTTCTTAAAACAATGGGTTTTTAAATAATTGCAATCGTAATATAGCGTTATCAATAAACGTTACAGGCCACTGACCCAGAAAACGATCCGGTGTCGTACTCGATAGTATCGGGAAATGATTTGCGCCAGTTTGCGATCGGCGACAAATCAGGCGTTATTACCGTTATAAGGAAGTTGGATAGGGAGGACCTGACCCGGTATCAGTTGGTAAGTCGATATCATTAAACACCGTAGCATGAACTTCCTACACCCTCTACTACAAGCCAATGCACTTCTTGCTTTACACTACTTTTTACCGATAGCTTTTATCTAATCTAAGGAAACATCGGTGTGTCTCTTCCTCCATTTGTAAACAAGTAGTGAAATCGAAGCACAACGTTGTTAACTTTCAGTATACATAATCTGTTTACATACTTTAAATAAAAAAGTAAAAATTTATATTTTAAATATTTATAGTATATAATTTCCGCTACATCTAATTTCTCAGCATTCTCGTAAAAGAATTATATATTAAAAATAAAATTTTATTGATTGACTCTCCAAGTATTTTTATTGTTGAAAGTCGTCATTTTCCACATCGCGTTCCGTCAAATTGGAATAAATTATAAACGGAGCGTAATGCTGTGATATTGTTGGTTCGTATAGTTAATAAAGGCTGAGGATACCGGTGGTCTCTACAGCACCGCGACGGTCAACATTATGGTTACGGATATCAACGACAAGAATCCCGAATTCGTGGGTCTCCCTTATGAATTTACGGTCAAGGAGAACGAAGCGCGTAAATTAATTGGCCGCGTGCATGCCGAAGACGCCGACGAAGGTATAAACGCTGAAATTACTTATTTCGTACCCGACGATATTCCTTTTACTGTGGATCCCGAGACTGGCGATGTCCTGACGAAGATAGTGCTGGATTACGAGCAGAATAACGTGAGTACCAATCTCTCCATTGCTCTTTCAGCTTTTAATTTAAATCATTAAAATAATATAAAAATTTAAATTTATTACTTTTAATAACGTTAATTAGAAAATAAAAGTTAAATTTGTGAAAATTCGCATTAAATAATGTTTCTTAGACTTTTCAAGAGAATACTTGTCAGTTCTACGAAAGTTATAAATTGCGATTATAACTCGAGAATGTCTTACAACGAAACAGTTTAACTTGTACTCAGATTACGAGAATGTCGTCACAGTTAAATTGCAGTTGTACTAGTATGTGCGCTTGAGACACAGAAAATGGGCAATTATCTGAGTTAAAGTTCGTACGATTTTCGTTCATAAAAATGCAATGTGTAGAAAAACTTGATTATAATTTTATGCAACGTGATAAAAACTTTTAATCATGTTGTAAAAATTGTCGTTGAAATCGTCTCGAGGATATGATTGTGCATCACATTAAAACTTTTTATTTTATTCTGATATTCCCTTGAAAACTTTTCAGAATTAAATTATAAAATTTCCACACAATACGATTCTCTCAGAGATGTCCTCTGGACGTCACTTGAAGAATTGTGTTATGTCGGTTAAGATCGATAGATCTTTTTTTTAATTTCGCATTCATTGGATGTAATAAATACAATGTTTGCATAAATTGCGTAGGAATACAAATTCGTAGTGACTGCGAGGGATGGAGCCCCCGACTATCGTTTAGCAACTGCGACTGTCACGGTGAAAGTCGTAGATGTCGAGGACGAGGTTCCGGTCTTTCACCAAAGCAGTTACGAGGCACGTGTCAAGGAAAACGTGCCTGACCATAATGTAATTCAAGTCACGGTGAGTCGCATGTCAAACCGCAGTAATACTATTCATAATAGCGTCTGTTCTCGAATGGAAAACGTGTAAAGCGAGAGAAGTGTGTGTGATTAAAAGAGATTAATCCGTTTATTCGCATCAGTTCCTGTAGATTTAATTTAACGAAAATTGAGACTCTCGTGCGGCGACGTTGTTCGTTTAATGAATTCCAATACGAGACGTTCGTGTTAAGATAAAACATCTCGACTTGTTCGCGTAACATGCCGAGTGTGAAATTAGTTCCGAAATGGATCATAATAAGAGATGTAATTTCATCGAGGACGAACGACGAGATTCGCTCGAGAAGTTTTAAAAGTTCATCGGATAACCGAGACGTACACTCGTTCCGACTCGGGAGACATTCGCGTTACTCGCGTCGTCGACGATTCCCATCCCCGTCGACGAAGTAGAAAGGATAGTGCGTTCTGGGACGGTCGTCTTACTCAGGTTTTGAAGCTAACGCGATCATTTCTAGGCCGATGATCCGGACACAAAGAAGCAAATTACGTACATGATCAAGCAAGGGGATACCGAACTCTTCAACATAGACCCGAAGACTGGAGTAATAAAAACTATTCGCGGTCTCGATTACGAAAGCCAGAGCCAGCACGTACTTATCATAGGCACTGAGGAGAACACCAGCAATTTACCTGGCTCTACCACCCGCGTTGTTATTAATGTTCAGGTATTTTTTATGAGTGAAGTCTAAATCTTTCTTTATGGTAGTTGTCAATATCCCATCATCGATTTACTATTATCGTTGGCGCATCATAGTATACATGAATGCCTTTTAGAATATCACATTACGTAGCCAGTTTAAACTGTTATCGATTTTTAAATATCATATTTGAAAAAAAATTATGTAAATAAGATTTTATTTTAGTAAAATAAATTGTCGTTTCCAATTAGTGATCTAGAAGATCTTATAATTAAATACAAAAATTTCATGGAACTATTTTATTTAATATTTAACATTTTATAATTTTAAGTACAATATAATCGAATAAAATATGTATCTGACATACCTGATTCTTCCGCATTAATGCATAATCTCAAGTTAAAAGTTAAAATGTTAAAACGGGAATTAATTGCCTGTCTCAGTCACGGGAATTAATCCATGGGATCAATTTAACGGAACCGGTTCATGTTGAGCGCATTAATATCATAATCAACGATCACCCTATCATTTATCATACTTCGACTACTTTTAATTTAACTGTATCTCCTTACTCGTCGGATTAATAACATTTTAAACGCGTCATGGCAGGATGTGAACGACATTCCACCGGTATTTACATCGGTACCACGTCCGATTACGCTGGACGACGATGTACCTATAGGAACGACCGTAATTGATCTTGTTGCTGCAGATTCCGATGGAACCGCTCCGGGAAATCAGGTAGGTGTATTGATCGCCTCTTTTCCAATACTTGATTTCTTCTCCGTTAAATAACAAGGAGATAGATTTTCACCGAGCCTGGTATCCGTAGGTTCGATATGATATCATCGGTCGCGGCATCGCCAGCAAGTACTTCGTAATCGATCCCGACACCGGCATACTCCGAGTACGAGATGACTTGCGCAAGGAGACTGACTCCGAGTATCAGGTATTTGATCCTTCGCATATAACTTGACGCCGCACGTCGCTCATGATCTGACGTATCTAAAGCGAGATAATTCTTTTTTCTTAGATTGATGTACTAGCATACGATATGGGAGACCCACCATTGTCGTCCGAAACGACTGTAACAGTTTACGTACGTCACGTGGCGACGGTTCCGCCGGAGATCGGTTTGGGTTTTGCGGAGAATTCGTATAACGTCGAAGTACCCGAAGACGCGGGCGACAACACGCTAATAAAGATAATCACTATCATTAACAGTCACGCATACAACACTACGCCACTCAGGTGCGAGATTTATAGCGGCAATGAAGAAGGCCTGTTCGAAGCGAACGTCACGAAGGAGCGAAATTGCGCGCTGAGACTGAAGAAAGGAGCGCTGGATTATGAGACGACGGAATCTTACCAGATTAAGATCAAACTGGAATCGCTCTCAGGCCTTTTAAACTCAGGCAGAAATACGACGATGGTGAGATGCTACAGAACTTGTCGGTATTTTTATTCTGAAACGAGAATCTTTATAATCCAAATAAAATATTATATCGCTGTTAATACGAATGGATATATCAAAGATTAAAAATTAATATACATATGGAACACACAAAAAGACTTACTTACCTATCCTGCAGATGTAACTTCAGTATTATTGCTTTATTACAAATCTTTATGTAATAAGAGCACCTATTGCAGTATTTTCTATGCACAGAGAAACTTTAAATACAAAAGATATAAATCCACAATTTTTCTTATCTTGTCTAATCTAACAGAATTTAATTTTTTAAAAAAGGGAAATAAATAAATAAATCTAATTTATGTTAAACTCTAATTCATGTAAGATAACTGTTGCAGCAAGATTATCAATTCTAATTTTTCTCAAATAAAATTGCAGGTGAAGATCCAAGTGCTGGATGTAAATGATAACAAGCCCGAGTTTATTTTCCCGGAGGCGAGTCAGACGCTTACGAGGGAACGTTACTTTGCAGCGATTCCACGCACCGCGCAATTCGCGTCCACTGTCGTACAAGTAAAGGCTCATGATAAAGATAATGGCAAATACGGCAAACTAGAATACAAAATCCTGGAAGGGCGAGGTTCTGGTTATTTCGTCATCGACGGCTCCACCGGCATAATTAGGACGACGGCTACATTCGACCATGTGGATGCATCCGAGCTTCCATTCAAATTTGACGTTCGCGTGCGCGACAATCCTAATTCGAATGACAATTACAATTCGATCTTCGCGCCTGTGATCGTCAATCTTATCGGGGAAGAAAACCTGATGATTCTCGTGGTACAAAACGCAGCGCCGGATGTACTGCAAAAAGAAACCGATAAAATAGCAAACGTAATTGAACAAAAGAGCGGTCTGCTGATTGGTATTGACAGAGTCGCGATGAGAAAGAACCTCACAAAGAACGGCACTATCGAGACGTTCCCGCAGGACTCTGATGTATGGTTCTACGCGGTAGACCCAGACACCGAAGCTATATTAAGTAGAAACAGTACCAAAGTACAGAGGTAAGTCTTAAAATGTGCTCTATATATATATCATATGTACTGGTGTATATAATAGAACGATTAATTATTTATTTGAATATTGAAAGCATTTTGTTTAATATTTTTAATATTTAAAATGAGTAATTAATAAATAATTATAATTACATTTTTCAATATTATAATATATATAAATTGAATTTTTATAAGACACAATAATTACAGTAAAAATGATACAATAAATAAAGTCTTGTTAACAAATTTAAATTATTCGTTCGGATTTTATGTCGACGAGAAGATTACTTTTAGCAGTTTGAGTTTTTATTGTAACATCACTTTAACTCTGTTGTTGTATTAAATACGTTAAAGCTACACGATGTCTCACATTTATTTGTGGAACGGTAATTACTTAATTATCGCAGTGCTCACGTTGCAATGTACTTTTAGATATCTGCTTTCATAAATAAAATAGGATATTACTAAATTGTTTTGAAACATTTCAGAATTAATGGTTACGCAACAAGAAATTGCTAAAAACTTTCTTTATAATAACATTATAATAATTAATTTGTTAAATATTTAAGTAGAATTCTTTAAATCTATTATTCTATATCATATATAACACAGTTTATATTAATTATCTTCTTGATTACAATTTGAATTATTTGTAAATATAGCGTATTCAAATTGCTAGAAATCTCTCAGTAAATTTTATATTATTAAAGAAAATGTGAATTTTATTGTACTTTAAATTGATATGAAATTTAATTGAATCTGAACGACTATCTCATGTGTTTGATAATAAAAGATACGTTTTTTTGTGTGAGCACCGAAAGGTTAAAATTATAACTTTTGATTAACGTAACATTTGATCATAGGCAAATATTAAAAGCGCCGAATGTTCAATAGATCTATTCTGGATAAATCTGCCATGTCAAATATCATCTTTGACGTGTCTACGGTAGTGTGGGCAAATGCCATCGACATTCATGCACCCGTGATGCCACCCGAGCCAGTTCGAACACAAACGGCGGTTGCATTTAGCGGCGAGGTATTCCCGTACGCGCTGATCATCATCGCGTGCGTGATTTTGATCCTCGGCATTGCCGGTATCATATACATATGCGTCTCCTGGTCCAAGTAAGTACTTTGATTTTATTATTGAAACCACTGCGCGAGTTAAAATAATTCGATAAATACATTTATAAAAAAATAATTGTAAGGAAGCTAAGCTGCAACACGCGATATAATTACGGTTTATTATAGAGTACTAAAGTAATAAACAATTTAAATTAAACTTCTACATAGAAGAAGTGATGATTAACAGTATTAGTCAGCAGTATTCTAATTGAAAATTTTGTTATTCTTGTTTATTTAATAAATTACGGTATTTATGAACAAATAATATTTTATTAAAACAAGACCATAATTTGTTTTATTAATACAGTCATTGAATAATAAGATTAACTTTTAACTAAACTACTGCTATTAATATATAATTTTTTATGTTATCTAAATTTATTACGAATGAAAATATATCTGCATATAGATATAATTAAATATAATGGAGATGATGTTTTAAAAAATTTAAATTTGTGTTGGCTTGCAAATTTGTGTTAGTAGATATTCATGATATTTTTGCATGTTGCTTTAATAAAAATTATTCGTATACAAATATTGAAATGGAGACTCTCTTAGTTGCCATTACGGTCTTAGTTGTTATTACGATCGCACGAGAGAGTTGTTTCACGAGTGTGAATATTCATTTGACATCAAGTGCGAGCCATGCAAATTTATACCGCTCTTCATTACCTCCATTAGCTTTAATTGCGCTTTCCGCTTTGAATATCTCCGCGAACACTTATTACATCGACATTGCGATCGCGGTAAAATAGTCTTTCCGGAGTATTTACTTCCGCGACGAGAAATTTAAAGTTTACCACTCTTATCGTAAAAATGTTATGCAGGTATAAAGCGTACAAGGAACGTATGCAGCGCATGTATGTGGTACCACGATACGATCCCGTTTATGTAGAACCCAATTTGAAGGAATACGAGACGCAAGTGCTTCAGATGAGCGTGCCGGTTGACGACAACGACAGCTGCAACGATTTACAATTGGATTTTAGCAACAAGAATCACGCATTTAGTCTGGATAATGTCAGCTACATCACCAAAGATCACGGAGACAGTACCGGTAATTCGTAGCAAACGATATAATACCTGTACATAATGCAAGTTAATTTCTTAAAAATATGCAGATGAAGATTGATTAAAGTTCTTTGTATTTATATCTCGTTCTATGTTATTATTCACAGTCAAGTAAAAAAATATAATACTAAAAAAAATGGAAACATATATTTATCTTTACAATCTATTAACCATTAATTTTCCTTAAACTAAAATTATTTCATTGAGATAATTAATAAAGTAATAATTAAATACTTTTGGAGCAATACGTATACTGGTTCATATTGGATATTCGAAATATATAGCGAGCTTACGCGTTCTGCTTTAAGGCCAACAAAGCCCCGTTAGCTCCGAAGCGGCGACCACGGCACGAGCATCTAGTATTGTCGGTAATCATGGCGATACCAATATTCATTCTCTGCGACGGTCCACACTGGGCCGAAAAAATCACAGCGCGAGCAACACGAATACCCTCAACAATCGCGACGCGACACCGGTACTTAATCCCTTGTACAATCACGGCGGTGATCTGCTGAGCCCTAGTCCGTCCAACGACAACGTCACCTTCAGGGAGAGGAAGGATTACTCGCATCTCGGGTTTACGTACCTGGGCGAGCAAAGTCCTGTGGAGACCACAACAGAATTGTAAGTTTCGTGATCCGAGAGACGATGTGTGAATGTTTGTCACTTTAAAGACTGCCACCGAATTATACGTATCCGCGAAATAGAAAGGTTGAGATATAATCTTACAAATGGTAATTTACAACATCCTATAATTTTTATTTTGATATATCATATACACGATAAGACGAATAACTGTGATGGACATAACATTTTTTCACATCAAAGTTCAATCAACGATAACATATTTAAGCGTTAAAACTTTGAAATCTTATGCGTAAAAATCCTATCAACGAATATTGTCTCGTATTTACGATATACGTAAAATCAACATTCACCTATCCTTCGCAACAAGTGGACGTAACTCTTTTTGCATTTTGACAAATGCATGAAATATGACGACGAGGAGAATTCTCGACGCCACGTAGCATTTTTTTCTAACGCGTTAAGCAACCTTAAAGAGCCATACGAAGAGCATATGAAAGCTTATAAATAGTTGAATGACTTTGTATCTGTATGCTCTTCCTTTCATATGTCATCGTCTGAATGTGTACCGATGCCTGCCGCGCTGATTCAGCGCGCGCAATGCAGCCGCGGAATTCCCGGCGGGACACATTCTGAACGAGTTGCTCCGTATGTGATATCCATAAAAGAGCAGTGTTATAGCGTTTCAGATACGACGGCGGAACGAGGCCGTGAAAATATCGCACGAGTAAAAGGCGACTGAAAGAGAGCGCGGGATATCCTTTAGAGCCAGCCGATATTCCGCGCGATTTATTTTTAATCAAGCGCATCGCGTTTTCGCGTCGAAGCCGATAGAGTTTTGCTAACAAATTGCAAGAATTACGCGAATAAACGCAACACCTCGAATTAATTACCGTAAGCCATTACGCGACTGTAGGTATGTCAGATATGAAATTGTTGCCGTGCAATAACTGAGTCTCGATTAATTTCGAAATATTAATGTTTTTCATATTTCACTTGTGTGACTCTGATCCGTGATGCGTAAATGTACATTTTAATCATAGAATGAGAGCGAGAGAGAGAGAGACCACATCACTGCGATTCAAATTGTAGACTTAAGTTTCGAGGACGAAGCTATACTTGTTATATTGTACGAACGGCATGTACTTGTGAATGCATGTCTCTGCACGAGTCGCGTCGGCTCGTGCGACCTTGTGAATGATCGATCTCGATCACGTTGTGTACTATATAATATCTTTTTTATTTATACGATCGCATGTTTGCTCATGTCATTCTATTGTAATCACAATTAACCGAGACGATGACGATGGTGCATACTGTTTGTACGTGATCGCAAAGATACCGTGGAGCTTCATGGCAGCTGTTGCGCATTTCTACCGCGACTTGCTCGCCTCTCGTTCACACGACCGCGCCAGCGGCCGTAATTAACGACTGCCATGCGGAGAACGCGTCATCGACACCCGTGACGATGTAAATGGTGGAGAGCGTACTTAATTAGGCACGCGTAATTGTCCATTTCCTCTTGTAATTTTCGACCACGCTGTTCGACTTTGTGGATTGAAAGGTCGACAGATCTGCGGAAAGCAGTTAAAGCGATAGACGAAGCGACGTTTGAGAGGAATTGCGTATGATACGACTTGATTGAATGTATATCTCTAGTCGTATATAGCAGGCGTCAACTGCCGTGCAATTTATAAGCCGCGTTTTATACTGAAAGAGAAAAAAAGAAATCACGTGTATGTATGTGTTACAAGTGTTCTCCGATTGATACCTTTACTCGTAGTTGTATAATATTTAAGCGCGAATTCTGTAAAAAATTGTTAATACCTAATAATAAATTTATTATATTTACATAACGATGGCCTTTTTGTTACAATATCAACGCTCCATAGAATATTTTTTCATCACAAAGCAAACGATCGCTTTGTCGAATTACATAAATGTTAATCCTGGTTTATTCAAGTTTTATACGATTGAAGCAACTTTATCTGAGATTTCCATGTAAGATTTTTAACATTTTCACATACAATAAATCTTATCTTTAAAAGCGAGAACGTGTAGAATATATTATCCTACACAGCATATTTTATTCAAGTGCGATATCTTAGAAACGTCCTTAGAACGTCCAAAGAATCCAAAGAACTGTTCTGTAGATGTTTTCAGAACGTTTCTTGGAGATCTGTGTTGTACGTGATGTAAAATTACTACGCCCTTGTAAAATTATTACGTAGCTAACTTTATCGCCTTGGTAGTATTTTTAATACGCAGAGTTGCTGACACGTTATACATCCTTACCCGCGCGAACATTTATTTCAAAATCCATTCCAAAATCACGTAGCCCGCTGTGCTTTCGACTTTTCGTGCTCGAAAGGAAAACAGTTATCATTCGGAATTACTCTACATATGTAAGTCTTTAATTAGAATAGCTATAATATTTTAATTAGAACGTGGGAAATTATAATTGGAGCTGCTGTAGGTCGCTCACTCACACTCGTTGCGAGGTGGGCAATGTGAGCGCGTGTCGGTGAGATATGAACCCGTCAACGGGATCGTTCTGGGTAGCGGGCGGGTAGCGTTTCAACCGTGCCCGACGATAGAGCGTCGGCGCCGCGACGGCGGGAGCACGCAGACGCATCTCGACCGGCGTCGGTGACGTAGAAACGAGAAACTAGAGACGAAAGCGGGATCCAGAGGCAGGCTCCTCCGTTTTGGCAGGTAACGCTCAGGCTGTCCGCGGTGATGACAGCACACTCGATCGCGGTCCTTCCGCTGGGATCAATGCGCAAGAAATAACTTGTAGTCATACGAGATAGCCAATTACTGTGTCCACGCGTTACGCGAATAAATACTAGAGGCATTTCATCGATCTTCCAGCTTATCGACAAGTAGCAGGCGGGTCCGTCCTCTTGTTCGCGACACCGACAGCCGAGGGCCGCGCAAATTCGGAGCGTCTAAATGATCGAACAGAGATGACGTACTATAAAGAGATCGCGAACCACCTGTGAACCGAATCGGAAACGCCAAGACAAGGATAGTCTTTGACGATTACGGAACGTGCATCCGCTTTTGTGACTTCAATATAACAGTGTAATATTGTTTGTAAAATAAACGACAGATTGTAATTGTGTAATCGTGTTAGCAGTTACATTGGCAGACATCAAACGCAAGTGACAGATACATTGTAATCGAAGGGAGTAAGCTGGCTCGTTCGTGACAGGTAAATGCTTGTATATACAAAAATGGAGTAGTGATGTTTAGGTAGTTTAATTGTTTGTTTATGTTTAATGAATAAATAAATGAAGTAATGAAGTTGTGTTAAAATAGCAGATAAAGAATTCCACATTGTGTTTGACACGGAGTTTCCGAGATTAAAGAATTAAGTAAATACACGATACTTATTAAAAAAATGTACTCATTAATTTTTTCTTTAATAGACTTCTAAAAGGAAAAGTATAATCTTATCTTATATTTTTCCACTTCTAATAATATTTAAATTTCAAAGTTTATAAAACTTTTATTACTTAATAAAAAATAATTGAAAAAATATATTTTATATAACTTTTTTAAACATAAAATCAATTAAAAATAAAATAAGAAAAAAATAGTCTACCGTATTTTATTACGTTTATTGAGATTGAAATAGGAAAATATTTGAATACTTTAATTAAAACATTTTATAAGAAATACACATATAACTCACTTTAATTAAAGTTAATTCAACATTTAAGTGCAGTTGTTATTATTACTTTGTTGAAAACAGTTGCAAAGCAAACATGAAATAAAACATCGCAGACTTAATATATTAAAAATGTTTAATTAAAGAAGAGTTAACGAGTGTTTAATATTTATGTAACGAATTTTATTACGTTCCATTCTATATTTGAGCTTACAACAGCTCTGTTATATTTGCAGATTGATGACTAATTGGAAAATCAAGGATAACAGACATGAAATACTTAAAAGTCGCGTTGTTCACGTTCAATCTATTAATATGGGTAAATAACACGCATGCACATTTTGTAACGTTATAAAATATAAATTAAGTCTAGAGATAGCGACACATGCCACGAGCACTTAGACGCAGATGCTCGAACTATAAATAATTTTGATGTAATTCTGTACTTTAGAATAAAACATAATCGTTTTTCATACTATTGTATTGTTCTCGTCCGAGTTAAATTACGATTTTATCTCTGGAGAAAGCAAAGAGAATTATTTTAACAGTTAAAAGTCGCTTAAATTTACGCGATTCAGGAAAGTAGTTCCCTGAGGAGTACAGAATTACTCTCGCTCGTCGCTGTAAAGAAACAATTGGACGTAAAATCATGGACTTTTCCTCTCGGCAGTTGGCTGGCTGCACGGTGCTCGTTATAGGCGCGTGGTTACTCCTGGAGCCCAGTAAAGGACACATCCTGAATCTTTTCGTACCTGATATTAAGCCGCATGAGACCATTAATCTGATAGCTTATAGCCTCCTCGGGCTTGGTTCCATCGTACTCACGGTCGGCTTCTTCGGTTGCCGCGCCGCGTTACGCGGAAATCAATGCATCCTCGCCACCGTGAGTGAAACGACATTTTTATTACCTCCGCCCCTCGGGGGCGCGTGTACCATTATAGACGTCGGGTCAGGGTCGGTGATGTTTTTATATCGGCGATCGTTTTTCCACAGTACATGAGCATGTTGGTCGCGCTTATCATCACAGAACTGGTGACGGCCGCGATCGGCGGGTTGATGACTTTCCAGATCCTGTCGGATCTGGAGGAAAGGCTCACCAATAAACTAGCGATGGATTATGGTCACGATTCGACCAGCGATATCCCCTTCAGCAATAGTTTGGATTTTGCACAGTATAAGGTGTCGTACTAACAAAGCTGTTCGTTTGACAGCTCATCAATCTTTATGGCATGTCATGTCATTAAAAAATCGCTTATATTTTTTATTTTAAATCTTTTTTTAATTGTGATACATTTTGATCTTATTGCAATTTTTGTCCAATCTTGCGTAATAATTTTTCAACTATCAATGTTATGAACTTTTGTGTGTTTTACTTGAGATGTCAAGTTCGCGGATACATGCTTTTTACTACATCGTAATTGTATAATATGTGCACGACACTTTAGCGAAATGATGCGAAAAATTATCCTTTTCTTAGTTATATTTAAATATTGTTTCGTCTCATTTTCCCTGTAGCATGCATTACGCGCCAAAATGCGCACGTAAATTATGTTTCATGCATGATGGGGTCGCATGCGATGCATTGTCTGAAATCGTCTGCCCGATGAGACATTTCACGATGGTTCGAAGAGCATATGGATGATTCCATTGCAGTTTAATTGCTGCGGTATATACGGCGATGACGATTACAATGGCACGGCTTGGTGGAGGGATGGTCAAATCTCGGGGAACAAGAGGCAGGTTCCCCTCACGTGTTGTGTTCTCAAAAATAGCGAGGTACATGTTTGAATTGATTGGTTTTAAAACAACATGGATATTGAATTTCTGAATATTGAGAAAGTTTATAAAATGTTTTAAAAGCGAAATAATAAAATAAAAATAAATAATAATAAAATGTAAGTTCACGTACAGTGGGCAATATTAATATCTATAGAGATCTCTTTTGGAAATCATATAAATTGTAGCTAATGTACAAGTTGATCGTTTCCTGAATAATTTCATCTCTTTTTAAATTGTCTTTAAACTTTATCTTAAACGTACAGTAAGATGATCCACGGTTAGCTAGTAAAAGCGAGAGCTTCTATTTTACAGAATAAAAATACAGGCAGCAGCCCAATGAGCGTTGTTTCGAGAGTGTTTCACAAAAATGTGAGTAAAATATCGGCGACGAAGCGAATGTATGAACTTTGTGTGAGTAATCTTTTATCGCTGGCAGAACGAGAAGCCGTGGCTGCATCCGCAGCCAAAGGATGAGGCTGCATGTCAAGTAGAAGACGAAGAGGGTCACGAGGGATTTAGACACAAAGAGGTACGCATCACGCCGCGAGGCATCATGTCGCTGCATGTTACAGTGCTATATATTTCAAATGAACAACGCATTCTCTTAGGGCTGCCTTGGAAAAGTCACGAACTGGCTGCAGTGTGAGAGCTTTACATTAGTGTTTCTCGGTATGGCAATGGCAGGAATACAGGTAAACTTTTTATTATTAAATATTTTCTTAATAGCTTCCTCTTTGTGTCTTCTATATTTTGTGAAAAGACTTTATTTAAGAAAGTCTTTTCTTTTGATCTTTAAACTTTGTAAAACGCCCTTGTAAAATTACTCTTCTTTATTTAAAAGAACTTTTTGTATCTTCCTTCAAATCAATTATGTAGATTATAAATAATAGAACAGATTTATTAAATACTTTCGTAAATTAAATCCTCCGTTGCTCGTATATTTCGTAAAAAAAAGAAATAATCGTACAAATGCATTTCAGACTTTCGGGATAATAACGTCCGCTTTCCTCTGCCGAACGATAAGAGATATGCAGGAAGAATGATCCAGGGTTCGTAGTCTCAATGAAGTAAAGAGAATGTCGTGGCACGTTCAATCTTTACATTGACAACTTTGGAAGAAGGAACATATTTATTTTATATCTTCGGTATTGCTACTTGGAAGATTACCGAAATTCATTTCGGTTATGTGAGTCAGGACATTACGGGGAAGAAAGTAATCTAAATATTTGTTCTATTCCACAAGGTGTCTGTTCATTGAGAACTTCGAATCGAAATAACAATAAGTGCTACGCTTAAATTTAGATCGATTTCCACCCCTGTGCGCGTTTTGCTGCCATTCAGCAATAATGTGACCAAATACACCCTGCTGTACATATACAACTGTATGCATCTGTGTCGTGTTCAATCTAACTAATACTAACAAATAGCGATGTTACGATGATATCGCTATGGTGTCTCACGACGACCAACGGGGGAATTTGGCTAACAATGTGAATTGTTATTCATGACATTCTATCGTTTTGTAAATACACTTGCCAAGGACGAGTATATGCGTTGCGTGCGTGAGAACTTTCGAGTTGTCTTCTTTTTTTGTGGAAAGTTTATCTAATTTGAGACGTAAAATAATTTTTCGCACAAAGTTGTACATGAATTTTTGAAAAACTATTATAATTTTTAACGAATAAAATATTTATGTGAGTACATTTAGGGGAGACTGAGGCTGATTGATGTATTCTATTAACAGACTGTTAAACGATGTTAGCATATAGTTCAATAAGAAACGTTATAATCATATAACGTTGATCCGTTTTGACTGAACTTGATGAGTTTTCAGAGTATGTTTGACTAGCCTAGATTCTTAGCTGTAAATCGAATTAAAAAAAAATTACAAAATTTCCTTTACTTAGTAAAATGTCATTAACTTTTTACGTATATATTTCTACTTAGCCTAATAATAAGTGTATGTTTAAGTTAGTGCCAAAATAATCTCTGTGTTTTGAAACTTGAAAAAACTGCAAGTTTTGATCAATCCCAGCTTCTCCTACATAATAAACGTGTATGTTAGATCTTTGTAGACACTTATCGATCCATTTCGAAATGGATGATGCATATATACATATATACATAAACATAACATATACATATATATATATATACACACATTATATACATTTATTGGTGTATAAAAAAATGCGTCATATATATTCTTTAAGGAAATGCTTTCCTCTCTCCGACACTAATTTTCGAAGAATATATTATTACAACTTGTGCCAAAAGAGTTTATTATACAATGAGTGATACAAATTTTAATATGTTTTTATTTTCTCAAAACACTTGGCAAAACAAAATGTCCTGCGTTTATAGAACGCACCTTAATGATAATAAAGATGTTGTTCGATGTGTAAAAACTTGTTATTTATTTTATATATTTTCACAAATTTATATTTTATCATCTCTAAAATTTGCAAAATTATATCTATTTACAAAATCAATAGCTGCATTATTGTAAACATACATTCTTAATGTTAATTTTTAAAATTGTAAATCTATTAATTTGATATAAATTGCACCAAAAGTAATACATAAATAAGAAAATAAGTGTTCTATATATGTTTAACCATTTAAATATTTTAACAAAATAATTATGTTTTAATTACCCGATTTCTTCATAAAAATAAACATCACGGTCGTTCAACGGTTGAACTGGTCGACAATTCAAAAGTAATGGACCCTCTACTGAACAAAGTTTTCGAAATTTCTCTATCTGTAAATTATATTATATGATGATAAAAAACTGAAAAAAAATTTTAGTAATATATGATTTTACTTGAGATGAGGAAATTGCGATTGGTTCTTGCTGCACGATCCATGTGACAACTTCACTGCAAGGTGGTTGGCTAAGAGAACCGCTGTATGTATAATAATTTCTGTCAAAAGGTGCGAAAATCCATTCCAATGGAAAAGGAGGTATGTAGACTTTAGATCCCGGACAGATAATGCGCCACAAATTGCTTATGATATGATCCAAGTAAGGATTATCTGTGTCATTTATCTGCAACATCGTTAAATGTATCATGATAAGCAATTATGACAAATTACGTTTAACTATAGCACATTACATTTTGCTAGTTGAATTTCTTAATACTTGTGATAAGAGGTTAATTTTTTTAATAAAAGGATTATACTTGAAGGAAGAACGAAGTAATCGCTATTCCGTCTTTTACTCCAAGCGCAATCGCATCTGTTGGTGATTTAAGTCCATGTTTTAGGTGAATAATTTGTAGTTCCATAGGAAAACGGACGTAGTCCAAAGTATGTTCACTGCCCTCTTCATTTGACGGACCCCAGTGAAAGAGAACATTAAAGAAATCGTACGTATCGGTCAAAGGTCCTCCTTGGAGTTGTGGCCAGGTAGTACTAGTCCAGAATCCTCGGAGTATTACTATATGTATATTAATATAAAACATTGTGTAGTACAGTATCAGCTTTCATTAATTTACTTTGTTTTTATTGAAGTGATATTAAAATATATATTTTAGTCTATTCGTTTGTATAAAAACACTTTATGTTTTATTTTATATCAGTATCATTTTATTAATATTAAAAGGATATATTTATACTTTGATTTTGTTTTCTTGTAAAAATATCACATTTTATTTTATGTCATTATTATTTTCATAATGTTAAAGATATACCATTAAATATTCTTTAATTTGCTTGTAAAAATTTACCAGTATGACCATCATTTGTAATAGTCATCGAAAGAGGCCCGCTGTTATAATTGCTCCATCGAAGTGGCTCAGATGGCTGCACTACTACAGCGAGTCTAGTTGTGATATTAATAGGCGATTGATTGCTACCAGTGCTCTCAGGATATAGATCTTTCCATGTATGAGGACCATTTTGATGAGCATAGCCGAACGAAAAAGCGGGTGAACGATAATCGTTTTCCATCCATGCGAATAACTGCGTCCAGTCCAAAATTTCGGTTAATAGTAGCACTAACAAAAGAAATTAAATATTGTAAAATAAATGTTGTAAAAATATTAAATTATTTCAAAAATATAACCTCGAATTGGCTACTACATAAATATTAGAAAATAATGTTTATCGTAAAACTATAGCTTTTATTATTTTATAATTAAATTATTACTTTCTATTTTTCTAAGAAATACGTACCCATAAGAAGAACGCTGCTACACGCAACCATACATTCTACTAAAGAGAGGTCCAACATTTTTATATTAAAGATTTCCTGACATTTATATCACAAAAGCTCGGGTGTGTTAAAACCCACGTGCGGTATTTCCGACGTAATAAATTTTTAAGCGTGCGGTATACTTGACAATTTGTTCGATGTTTCATTCCGCATTAATTTCTATCAAAAATATTTAGAAAAGTAATGTATAACGAAATATAATGTAAAACGTCAAATAATTTTTTAGGAAAGTTGATATATAATAAAGCTTACTTCAATTTATAAAAATAATGTGAAGATAATTCAAAGATTACAATGTGTTAGTAACTTCCTACCTTTAAATTGACAATTATTCATTGCATGATTACATCATGCAATCACTTAGAACTTGTTTCCAATATGTCATCAAAATAGTTACAATATTAATATCCATACTTTAAAATTAATATGTCGCGTTTAAAAGAGAGCAAAATTTAATTTTGTAAATTTCGTTTTATTTAAAAGCTCGATGTATTCATCGTAATATACAGATGACATCCAAATCTAAGAGTGCACAATCATGTAAATATAAAAATTTTAATCCTAATCTTGTTTTATAGATAACAAATTTATTGTAAATACTTATTTAATAGCTATATGAAAATGTTCTTGTTACATTTATGTATAATAAATTTTATTTTTAAGCGCGTCCTACACAAGAACAAAAATTATGCACGACATCATCTTCGGGTTTGCCTAAATGGCGGCAATCTCCGATCAATATCAGTCGCGTTGCAGTGTGGAATAAAAAATTTCCTCCGTTACTTTTAACAAATTATTGGTCAAACAGTGGCACAGCGATACTTGCAAACACTGGAAAAACAGGTTCTCTTCATCTAATATAAATTCGGAACAATACGTTGTATATTTATTGTTTAATAATTTTTAGTTAACATCGAATTGACAAACAGAAGATTACCGATAATGCGTGGCGGTCCATTAAAAGACGATGAATTTCAATTTATGAATGTACAATTTCGGTGGGGCACGTCCGACTGTCGAGGCGCGGAACATTCTATCGACAACATTTGGTTAGAGATACGAATTGGATATTAAAAGTTATCACTATGTGTGAAGAATATTTAAAATTAATATTCTTTATTTAATTTTAATTTAAATTAAAATTACATTTTATTTTAAATTTTTTTGTTATAATTATTCAATCAATGTAACGTCAAAATAATGGTATTTATCAAGGTATTCGATGGAGGCGCAAGTCATGCATTGGAATACGCGTTACGGATCGATAGACAAGTGTTACGATAAATCTGATGGAATTTCAATACTCTCCTATCTTATGCAGGTACAAGGGCTAAAAATTAATTAAAATCCGATCTGCGAACATCTTTTTATAATAGTTTTATTTCCAGAATGTTTTGTTATATTTTTCGTTGCAATTTAATTATAATATTTAATTATGATGAAAAGGTTGTTGGGTGTCCTGGGATTCCAGACAATCCTGCGCTTGCCCCAATCACTCATAAACTCCAAGAAATAAAACGGACGGATAGCACCATAAATATTACTCCAGGTAATTGCATATAAAATAAAATAATCTTTAATATTTATTAAACTTTATTAATTAGATATAATAAGTCATACAGTAGTCAATGTTTGTCTCCTTTCTTTTTCTTTGTTGTAAATATTACGAGCAATTTTACAAAAATACATCTTTATTTTAAAATATACTTTAAATATTTGTTTTAAAATATACCTTTGTGTGTATTACTTTTCTGTAATATACGATAATCTTTTTTATTTTCATGATAGCTTTTATTACATAGATAGAATATTGTTTACGATATTTTTTAAATTAATTATGTGTTTATTTACAGATTGTTTACGTTGGATGATGCATGCATGCACTTATCCTGGATATTATACTTATTCAGGTTCTCTTACTTTTCCTCCGTATAATGAATGCGTCACTTGGATAATTGTACCAAATGCTATAAAAATTTCCACTAATCAAGTATATCAAGAGCATATATGTATATTAATTAAACTTAAAAAATTATTTTATTTATAGCTTTAAATATTGACGTATATAATGTGATAATTTACATTTATTATAGATCGAAGCATTCAGGAGCCTCTACAATCATAATTGGGAGCGTATAGTAAGGAATTATAGATCACAACATGTTCTTCATGGAAGAAGAATTTTCTTTGCCACAAATGATGCAATAATTTGAGTGATTAAAATATATCATCGTCAAAGGAATAAATTTAACTGGAAATTATTAAACCGAGTTCACGTTAAATAAACAAGCATGAAAAAATACGAATAAATAACTTGTTGAAATATATTGTTTGCATTTGCTTGCTTGCTGTAAATCCGGCTTATACTTTATGTAAAATAGGACCTCCTTAATGCATTTTCATTTTATTTTATAAAAAGTATGGATAAGAATTTTATTTTTCTGCTGATAGTCCAAAATTTTGTAATTAAATAATATATTTTTATATTATAATTATGGCAATATAAAATACAAACAGTGTACAAATAACTACATATAATATATGTATAACTGCTAACTTCAAAAATTAGAGTAACTTATAGATTTATATTTAAATTAATATAAAAAATATAAAATGACACAATTTTAAAATATATTTACATTTTGTATCAAATTTTCTAATTATATTTTGTTTTGCATCAAATAATTTTTAATTAGTGCAATAATGGCAAGTTATATGAAAACTATAGGTAAGTAAAGTATTAGAAATAGTAATATCAGGTTATGCATGTTTCAAATTGTATACTATATGTGAATATTTTAAGGTTTAAAAAGTGGCCAGGCACCGATCGATTTAAACGACAAAATTGTGCGACGTACGAGATTTCCACCATTAATTTTAAATGGCCACTGGTTAAAGGATGGAAATGCAATTTTGTTCAATGACGGCAAAAAAGGTAACTTTATGTCAAAATAATTTCATTAACATTGTATCGTGTGATTAGATATTAAATTTTTTGTCAGCAATTATTTTTTTGAACGGCGATAGGATCCCATCAACAGTATCTGGTGGACCGTTCATAAATGACGTATACGAATTTCATGACGCACATTTTCACTGGGGCGAAGATGATTGTAGAGGTGCTGAACATACGATCAATGGTACTTGGTGAGAATTATCACTTAACTTCAATAGCAATAATTTAAGATAAAAATATACAATAATATAATTAAAAAGTTGCATATTTAAACTTTATCTCATTAGAGTCTTTTAGTGTAATTTTTAATAAACTGTAATAAACTTTATTTAAAATTAACTTAGGTATTCCATGGAATGCCATTTAGTGCATTGGAACCAAAAGTACCTCACCTTTGAAGAATGTTTGAAACATCAAGACGGTCTTTGCGTGTTAAGTTATTTATTCTTGGTACATTTGCTTATATTATTCATAATCATATAGTTTATTTTCATTCATTATTAACAATTTTGTTTCATAGGTTCAATCAGGATGTTCCCAATGGAACAATGTTAAATTTGAAAGAATCTCTGAAAATCTAAAGTACATTCAGAATGTTGGATCAGAGACAAACATTCCAGCAAGTTAATATTCAAAGAATTATCTGTCAAACGTGGAACATTATTCTGTTCAAAGAATAAAATAATATTTCAAATTTGACATTTTTGTGATGTTTAGATTCTTTATCTTGGATGCGAGTAGCGACAGATTGTCCACATTATTATACATATCAAGGATCCCACAGTGAAGATTCTAATCTGGAATGCGCTACGTGGATCGTATTTCCAGTTATTATTCCTATACAATCTTGTCAAGTTAGTTATTTGATTTGAGTTATTTATACTAAAAACATGAACAACACAAATATGATTTAAAAACTTTTTTTAGTAATTATCTTTTTCTATATTTATCATTATTGATATAATTAATATTTAATACTTATGGAATATTGGAATTAATATATAATGATAAAATGCATATATGTATACGTAACTAATAAAATTTTCAGCTTAATGAGTTTCGAAAATTAAAGGATAAAAATGGCGAATTTATAAAATCGAATTGGAGAGATGTTCAACCTTTACGAGGACAACAAGTATTTTTAGCTGTTTCTTAAAAAAAATTTACATATATTACTTTAAATTTATAATAAACTACTATATATTTTTAACATTTTTAATTTCTTATAACATTTTAACAGAAATTGTCTAAATATTTCAAGTTTTTGCAACACGTTTAAAATAAAATTATTCTTTTATGTTACATAACATAATATATACTATACGTCAAATATGTACAATATATATTTCATATATAAATGAATTATAAAAAATTTCGAAGTTTATTATTCGTTACTGCTTAAAAATCGATATGATACCGTTATATTTTAAACTTTAATTCATCAAGTCTATGGAAAGAATCGATAATGGCGCAAATTCGTTCTATTGCTTCCTTTAGAGCTGTATATATACGAATAAAAAATATTTCTCTATAAGATTGCATATCTAAATTGAAACTTTCATTTCCTTCTTGCATTAGTACAGTTTTTGGTTGATCATTTAATGTCTTGCTATGTAGTTCTTGCAAATTGTTATTGAATCTTTGAGAAAAAGGTGTCAATTTCTGCTCAACTTCTATCAACGTTGCAAAGTCTTCTCGTATTAGATTGTTTCTTTTTGCAAGTTCACTTTCATTTTCAAACAGATTCGCAAAAGTGCATAAGATGTTATATACAGCGTTATATTTATTAGAATATTCAACATTGGATTCAAACAATTTTGATTTGAGACTTTGTTTGCAAAGTTCGTTAAATCGGGCGAGCATGTCGCGTCTGTAGTTTGTATCTTCTATCTGTAAAAGGATATCTCGGAGGAAATTCAGCGACAAGTTCCAGGTCGATGTGCTTTCACCGGTAACATTAGAATATATTTTCTGTAACTGCATTATGATATTTGGATGATAATGATAACAAGGATTCAGAGAGACAAACAAGTCACTTTGCGAAAGTAACGTCTCAGGAGGAGGCTCTGCTGACTCACTGTGCTCCACTTTATCTAGAATTTCCTCAATAATTGAACGTATCGTTGAGTCTCGAATGCAGCGATTCAGGTATTCATCGATCATTTGGTAATCGATCAATTTTGTATTTTGAGTATCGGTTGTGCAGCCCCAAAACCGAAACATAAACGTCGAGGAACTTAATTTCGGATCCGTGATGAACCGCCAGTATTCAATAAAAACTCCACACGTTCTGGACTGATACCATACCTTGATCTTTACCATCTGCCCTGGAAGTATGAGCCCTTTCGTTTTATTGAAGAAGAATTGACTGCTGTATTTCTCGAAGGACATGCCATACGTTCGAAAGGGCGAGTATCGCCAATGATACACTATAACGTTGGTTCCTTTATTCTCTAAGACGATCTCTTTTTCGATTCGGTTGTCAATCTTACTCGTAAAAGTCAGAGACCAAATGATAGGATCGGTGTCTACTGGCTCCGTTCTGAAGAGAGATCTTTCCCAGACAAACTCTCGATCTTGAATCTTTAGAATTATTGCCTGATCAGTGTCCTCGCAAGGCTTATCTTCAGTAATAGTTATCGGCGGAATTCGTAGTAGTGGTAGTTTCTTTCTCTGATAGGCGTGTCCTTGAATGGCCAATGTTGCCATTTCCGGCTCCTTAGGTACCATTAATGCAATTTTTTCAGCAAGTTCAAGTTTACGCGTTTTTAGATATTCGTTGCGTTTCCAGAATTCTTCCTTTTTTGGCATGGCGAGATCACGTTCTTTTACTGTTAGGTCTGGCAATCCAACATACATTAAATCCGAGGGAAAAATCAGGTCCTTTTTGCTAGGAACCGAGGATACTTCCGGCAGACAAGCATCGCCTGGTAGGAATTCTGGTCTACCACGATACTTATCGGAGATCACAGGTATAGCGGCGTGTTCCATTAGGTTTTTCATTTCAATAAAAGAACGAAATTTTTCCGAAGAATTCTGTAGCTGATCACCCTGCAAACGACCGGTAACAAATTCTATGTAACGATTTTGCTTCTTATGGTCAGCGAGCCATTTCTTCCAATTTACGAAGCGACGATCTTCCGAAAAGGATGTATCTCCAGAGAGAAGGTTATCCCTAGTTGTTACGAGTGGTTGACGAGTTTTTTTCCAGGTTTGAGGTTTATCAGGTTTACCGATTTTTCGTGCAAAATCCATTTTCAAAGAACCAATTATTTCATATCTTGTCTTTCTTTTATCTTCAATGTCTCAATTCTCTTGAATAACAATCTAAAATTTTTATTTTATGTATAAATCTGTTATTTTTAATTACAATTGCCACGTTTCTTTCTTTTCCTTTATAAGTGAAAGAAATATAAATATTACCTTTTTCCCGTGATATTAATTAATCATCTTAATATCATATATTAGTTTATTGTTGTGACAGTTTGTATGTTAAATAGGTTAATTGTGTGAGGTTATAAATAGAAAGTTATTAAAAAAGTTTTATAAACATGTGTATTAAAGTTTCAAATTAAATTTATATTTCAATATTCAAATTTTATTTAATTAAAAGTTTTTAATATAGAAAAGTTTGTTTTTATTAAATTAAAAAATATTCCTTCGTAATATTAGTAAATAAATGGTATACATGCCACGCATACACATATGTAAACGTACATGTCTAAACAAATAGTTTCAATCATCATAAATTTATGCCAGTAATCTATTGAAAAATATATGGTATATAAAAAAATAAATGGTGCAATTTTATGGTTTTGCTCTAAAAGTACACTTTCATTTTAAATATGGAAAGTGCTCTATTATCGATGATTCTCGGTATCGATAAAATATTTGAAATAAAGTTCAGACGAAGCAAAATTAATGAAGTGTTATATTTGGTGCATTTATACATTTAAATTTATAAGTAATGTATATCGTATGATATATCGGTATGAATTCTTCGACAGGTGGGATATAATTTAAAGTTATATTTTTTATATCCCTCTAAAATGCTTATACTGTTAAATGTCACTTTTCTAATAATTATATATACATACATAGATTCCCATGAACACAAGAAAGAAACAGTTAGATTTATACAGAATTTGGCTCATACCGATGGCAAGCTAAGATCACCAATCGATTTGAACATCAGCTATATGAACGTCGTGAATCTAAATCCTATACAGTGGGTCAATTATAATGTCACGCCAAAAAAATTAAAACTCAGTAACACTGGATATACTGGTAAAAAATAAGAGTCACATTCAATGTGCAAATATTCACTTCTAATAAAATAATTGCATATATTATTTATAGTCATGCTTAGTGCAACATGGCGTGAAGAAGAGCCGTATTTGTATGGTGGCCCTTTTATCAGCAGTTATGTTTTTTCACAGCTTCATTTTCATTGGGGTAAAACCGATATGGACGGCAGTGAACATCATGTTGACGGTGGAAGGTTTTATATTTTTACATTTTTATAAATTTTTTTATCTGTTCTTTTGATTTAAACGCTCTTATTCCTAAAGCATGCCAATGGAACTACATGCAGTGCATTATAAGAGTGATTACGGTACTCAAATAGCGGCTCTTCGTCAACATGATGGTGTTACTATATTAGTGTACTTATTCCAGGTATTAAAAAAATTTATTTTAACTAAACTAATTCTATAAAGTAATAATTTTATATTAGAGTATTTTTTATACATTATTTTTTTAATCGTTTAAATTTGATTTTAACATTCGAATAAAAACATGTCTTTAGATATTTAAGAAAATAATAGGTATATTTTAGAAATAATATTACATACAGCTACAGGCAGCGCCTAATCCACTTCTGGATGATATCATAAACACATTACCCTTTATCCAAGCAGCTCATTCTTCCATCCGTTTAATACCTTTTCCTATAATAAATATTATGCGATGCTTTCAACGTGATTACTTTGTTTATTGGGGTTCCATAACCATGACAAATATTAGAAATAGCGTACTTTGGCTAATAAGCAGAGAACCATTAGGAATATCCATTGATCAAGTAACTTATGCCATGTTGAAACAAGAATTATTATTAATAAACGAACTAAGTAATGATTAAATAAAATAATATTGTCACATAGTTAATTTTTATTTCATAATAGTCTTGTTTTTATTTTTTAAGATTGCAGAGTTTCGAACGTTATGTGACGAACGTAAAATGCCAATTTTAACAAATCGTCAGCCATTACAGGAACGAGGTGATAGAAATGTTATCCATGTATGTCCTAGTGGATCCAGATATGCAACGCTTCTACCAATTTCACGTGATGGTGATAATAAATATATTCATCAAGACGATGTCGATAACAGCGATAACAGATAAAATCATAAATGATTTAATCATATCATTTATTACGATATAATAAAACAATTTATAAATTTAAACTATTTCGAGCATGTTATTTATGAATCTCTCTAATCATGGGGGGAACTGTTTAACTTATAATTTTATTTTGAATTTTTAAAGCATCGCTTATTTCTTTTTTCTACGACGCCTTTTAATCCTTTCTCTCTCGAGATCGCATTCCGGGTAGAAAGAGACGCAATCGATTCCACCCAAGCCTAGAATGGATGCCTTCACAGAATCCAACATTGCCGACCATGGAGTCCTGTACAGCATTCTACCCGACAACCAACTCATGCCCAAGCTGAAAAAGAGGGTGTTGATGTTATCGGTTTTGGAATATAATTTCAAATTCGCCGACCAATGATATTACTTATTCACGAGACAATAAAAGTCTGTATCTCCCATCGATTGTGAGATTCCTATAATTGCTGTTGCGTAATCTGTTACCTCCAAACGGGAATCCAAATTCTGCGATCATCTTTAGTTTCTTTGGAGTATTGATTATCTTCACACAGTATCCTGCGCAGACAATTACCAGAATCTGCTTCGGCAACCATTGCGGCTTCGATGGACCTCAAAACGCGATGGGCTAATTCGTTCAAGTCCTCGTTGCTAATGGTAGATGAGGAAAGATAAATCGCATCTCTCTTCCTTCGCCTACTGGTATTATCCTGAAATATAACATTTTCAAATTTATCCATCAAAGTTACATGCATGACTCTCCTTTTGTATTAAATATTTTATTCTTGTTCTTATTTTTAGAAAGATATTTTAGAAAAGAAGTACGTATTTTTAAAACAAAATTTTTTTAATACCGCAGCATTACATATAAGCTGAATAATGAATAATCCGAATGATAAGAATGCAAGTGCTGTGAGTGCAATTTCGAAGAATTCCTTAAGCGAGAGTTCACTGCCTTTTCCCTTGGAATAAGAGGGTTTATGATCCTCTTCATGGTCTTGATGATGATAATAGTATTCTTCGTGAGCAAATGGGAAGAAGTCAGCATGATGTCCATAGTGATCACCACCGTGATGATGGCCAAGCAAAGATCCGTAATGAAAAGCATGATGTCCCGTTGATGATGGTAGCACGTCATCTATACGTATAAGATATGTAAATATCACATCTCACCAAGTTTTTCACATAATGTGTCATGTTCTGTAATTGGTTTTGTAATTTACCTTCATGAGAGGGATCATAAATGCCAACTTTTCCGTTCGATGGCAGAGGAGCTTGCATCGCGTATCCCGTCACTTCGCCATCGAACTCCTCAATATCATCGTGCTGAATATCCTGTTTCTTTTTTATTATTTTATGAGGCGCATAATGTCGATACACATCGTTTAGTGTCGTCATTCTATTACATTGTTATTATATTATTATATGATAGAAATTAAAGAAATTTTATTTTTATTTTGCAGCATTCTCTCTCTCTCCTCTCTCTCTCTCTCTCTTTATATATATATATATATATATTACAAAATTATAAACGATATTTCAAAAAACTAAAATATATCTTTTAAATGCCCTGTCCTCAAATATTTTTAATTTAATTTTAATTTAAAAAAAGTGTTTTTTAAAACAATTTGTTAAAGAAAAATAAAATTAAGTTAATAAAATGCTCTATAATAAAAAATTATGTTATACAGTTACATAAAGTCTATCAGATTTTCAAATAAACATTATTAGTTATACAAATATAACTTGAATTATAAAAAATTTTAATATTTTGGCATAGATACCTTTGCAACCAGTTTTTGTATTTTGTGCTTCCTTCATCCGCTAAAAGTTTATCGTGTATTGTAACATTATCGTCGCTTAAGAAGTTGTGATTTAAATTGGATGACGATGATTCGGGATGTCGCTTCACTCTAGGAGTGCTCACTTCTTTAAAAATTTCTTCCGCTATGTAGCCATGACAAAGATACTCATTCATTCTTTTCCTATAAATTTAATATATTGATTAATTTAATATCAATATTGCATATCGAAATTTCCATATTGATTCGTTACCATTTATGAGATTTCTACGCAATAAGCCATTATTTACGCGTTAAGTCATAAGAAATTAATCACAGTCGAATATGAAAAGAATAATTGATTATAATAATATTGGCCAATTTCTCACGGAATCTAAAGCTGTGTCTGTATCACCGATTAAATCATATAATTTTGTATAACATTTAATTTTTCCCTTTTTACAGATACGAAAATCTTTTTCCAAGAGCGTGTTGAGATACTGATTTGGGTGTTCTCCAGAGTGTTATATCATCGTTGTTTAACGTTCGGTAAACAATAAGAATAGAGTAATAGCTGAGTAGCACCCGAATGAGAACCTGAACATAACTCATGATTAAAGTATATACGCATTAATACGTATATCTGTGAGATGGCATTTATGCTAAGAACAACAAAAAATTTCAAAATTAAGAACTTTACTATTTCTTAATTCAATGGCGCTCCAGAGCTATCACATTATGACAACAATTGCTTTATATAAAAACGAGATAAAAGTTATGCAATCTGCATTATTAAGAAATAGTAGTCCACGGACTAGTAATTTGCAAAAAGAAACAATGTGACTTTAGAATCCCCTTAAGATTTAAACTTAGTTAATTATTGTAGAAAGCCCATTACATTACCTATGATATTCCATCTCGTTTAAGGCTCTGTCGAATGAACCATCCACGGTTTCGTTTATCACTGTTTTAGGAACGTTGTTTTTGTACTGATCGTTGAATAAAAACGATCCAGGTAAAAGATCCACGGAAAGTATGTCGTTTTGATTGAAGCAAAACTCGTTGCCGTCGTCATAACATTCTTGCGCCGATACCGTATAAATTATAAAAAAGATTTCCAAAATATATATCATTTTGTAAGATCGTAATGAACATATTTTACCGCGTTCTGGAAATTTTTCTAGTGCCATTCTAGTTGTGCCACGAGAGCGTACTGAAACGCAGAGATGATTGTAACTGAAGAGAAGGCGACACGCTCTTGTAATAATCCACTTGTCTGCTAGAAATAATTGCTTTAACCGTAACGTTGTCTAGGCTTGGTTATAACAGTTTTAAGTACGCTGAAAAAGAATATTGACCTCATCTGATTTACTATACACATGTATATATATAATTTTTTAAAGTGACAATGTTCGAAAGTTAATAAAATTAGGAGAAAGGATATTTATTAAAACATTATAAAGTGTTCCAGGTAGCACAATGACATGTAATAAATTAGACATTTATTTTGATAAGGATCCAAACTAGGATCGAAACGTAAATGTACATATCTACAATAAACTCTTTTCTACATCAAACCAACACCAAGTGCATTGACTCGACTAGGCATTATTATTTCTTTTTTATTTTTATCTCACGAGTCTATCTAATCACCAATTTTATTATATTAGATATTTATTAATAAATAACTATTATATACGTATAACATGAAAAAATTTAATACGTTAAAAAATTTTAATATTATAAATTTATAATGTAATAATAAATTAACATGATCTTTAAATTGTATAACTTACATTAAAAGAAACATTCACTAAATTCTTTTCAGTCATTTGTTACAACGATAAAACTAAAAAAATTGTCATTTTTATACTGCTGCAAGAAAAGAGAATACAATCATAAAAAAGAAAGAACATACTCAGAATCATTCATGTTATATAAGATATCTAAAAAATGTCTTTTAAATATCTTTTAAACGTAAGAGATTTAAAAGATTTCTTTTATGTTACATAAATGTTATCATTTTAAAAGAACATACTTTTATTCTTCTGTAATTAGTTACCAAAATTGCATTTTAAAATTATTATAAAATTATAATGATTCAAATATTCAAATTTATTTTCCGTAAATCTTTGTCCTTTGAATTGTATCGCTGTTGTAACAAATGAGCGGCATTATCAGAAAAATTATATTAGGAATCTAAATATTTTTTATTTTGAATTGTTATTAGAAAAGTTATAAAGCTGTAAAATAAAATGATGCCACATAAAGAGACCGAAAGACAAAACACCCGCATACCTGCAAAAAGCGGGTTGTACATCTGTTTAGATTCATGACTAATCCCCCTGATTGGTGACAGCACCCACCGATTTAATTCGTAATCCGACACTCATGATTAAATACGTTTATTAAAAACCACTTACAACGCTCTTATGAATGTTTCAAGAGTGGAGGGTCTGTCGAGATGTCTGCCCGGGTCGAGGTGGTAAGACAGGGTAATGGGGCCTTTGTTCCCCTGGGAACGCGCTCACCTGTCTAATATCTCGCGAGAGTGGCTATATCTGTACACACACCAAAAGCGGCCAGTTATACTCCAAGCTTACTGAAAATTAATCGCGCAGTTTCGAAAGAATTCTCGCGTCTCTCACGTCTCGTCCTACCGTCTGAAATAAACGTTTTTCACGCGATTATTAATGGTGTCGTGGTGGCAGAACTACCGGTGTATCAGACAAAAATAAAAAAATTGAATCTAGCTTTATTTTTGTTTATTTATCGTTTATAAATATAGTATTTAAAATTTTCCTTAAAAATTATATAATCAGAACTTATAACACAATGCAGAGGAAAAAATGAGAAAGTAGATTTTTGCAAATATAGATTGGAGTATTAAAATATTTATATAATATTCTTTTTTCTTTCAAGTTTAATGCTTTTAAAATACACAGGGCATGCTACAGAATATTTTTAATAGGACAGCAAGGATGCGATTCTTAATTGTCCGAAATGTTCGCACTTCCCCTTTTGCGTGAACGCAACCTGTGGTTTGTGCACGCGTGAGCTCACCCTCCTTTTCTCAGGTGTTTGATTGATCGTTTCAATTACGTAGCGCAGCGTGCATCAAACGTGGGAGTAAACTTCGCAGCGAGCAAATGGATCGTTTATTCGAAACATTTACGGATGAACGCTGCTGTGGATGGCATATGAAGCAAATAAATCGCAAATAATCGCGCTTTATCCATGCTGATGCTTCGAATGTATCAGATGAGAACTATCCATGTTAATGATCGAATCGTGATTTCACACGAAATGCCAGTCATTTTTATTTCGCGCAAACCTCGTTGTTTTTAAATTTCAATTCACTGTTTAAATAATTTTTAGAATAGCACGTAACTGTTATTGAAGGTTTGGAAGGAACGTTTAAACGTCCACACTATTTTCTAGGAAGTAATGTCCACGGTCGTAAATTAACGTGTGCGTTGACCATGTCGTTACTTCCTCTCTTCGCACCTAAGACGCGCCTTAAGCGCATTTCACTTCATGTATTTAAGATTCAATATTTGTCGCAGTCGCAAGTACGTGTAAAATGTTCAACCCCATGTATAATCAGCATACGAAAAAGCGTGTGCAACGCGGGAACGTAAATTCATGTCTATGTAGAAATAACCAGCTCACCAGCCGCAACAATAAGATAAGCATCCAGAAAAAGATTCCTTCGATTTAAAGAAATGTTTCTTTGATATACGGTTAAAGAAAAAATTTCTTTGAATGTAATTTCATTAATTTAAATATCACTTTTTAAAGCCAAATAAATTGTTTTATTTGACTCAAAAAATGATGTTCGAATCAAGGAAATTTTTTCTTTAACCGTATAACAAAGAATCATTACTTCGAATCGAAAAAATTTTTCTCTGAGGGTGAGGGGGTTGAATCACCGATTTAATGATAATATCGAAATAATATTTTAAAAAATTCAAATAAGTTATCTCCTTTTTGCTATATTATCTTATTTTAATATATCTTACAGAATTCTAATTTTGAAGATTGCTTATTTCAAATAAAATCATGTCTCTTCATACATAAAACAGAAAATGATTTTTCCAAATAGTATAGCTAACTCTCATTCAGTAGTTTAACATTAATATAAACTACAGTGTTATTTATATTGTGAGAACAAAACTTTTTTTCCAATATAATAGTTATGTTATCCAAATCTAAGCGGGAGTATTGAAAGGTTAATAATGACTGCGTTTTCAGAACACGACACTGCGTGCTGAGGTGTCTAATGTACATGAAAAGAATGATATATGCTCTTCTACAAAGACGAAATAACTCAGACGTGGATCGGGGAGAGGATCGATGACGGCGCGCAGTAGAAAGGGCTCACAATCGCCATTGGTCCTTTTAGCCGCGGAAGCGTGGAGCCGAGTGGATTTACGGCGCGCAAGGATGAACATTGAGATTGGCACGGGTAGCCCGGAGACTAATGGACGCGCCATTCGCGAAAATGGCCGCCACACCGTTCCCGTAAACAGAAATAGCACGATATGGTTCGATAAGGACTATCATCAACGGTGGAAGTTGAAATCTGGGATCGTGCGCCGCAATGCGGAAGCTTTTATTTTTCTGAAATAGTTTCTACTTCAGAGGTACTTAGTATTTATCCCAATTACCGCTGAAAAATGTGTCTTCCTTTATGAATTAAATTACAAATTTTTAAATATAAATACATTCAATAATAAGATTGGAAAAATAAATATCTTATTTATCAAATCAACTGAGATTTTTGTGCAAACCAAATTGGGATATTATAACCACTGACTCTTGTTAAATATCGCTCCTGATAAATTGTAAAGTTATTATATTCATGAAATACAACTGTCAAGATATAATAAAGAAATGTGACGTTTCTGAGGTACAGTGAGAACCACTGCGCGTAGCTCGCTAAACGCGTGAAGAAGTGTTTTGCGGTGCTTTTTCATGATGTTCTTCACGTGGCAGAAGCGTTTATCCATTGCTAAAGCGCGAACAGGAAAGAGAGAAGCGACCATCGTTTTACCGGCATAAAGTTTCGAGATAGAGGGGTCAAAGAAGGCGGTTGCTGCGCGAGCATCCTGCGCATTTGGGACCAATCGGAGATCCACCTTTTGATCCCAGATGAGCCCTTTTTCGCTGCGGCAAAATTTGCTAGTGCGCAAGCCGAATCGTCGAGTTCAAGCACTTTTTTGGAAAGAACCATAAAACGCGTGAATGCCTCGATAAAATAGGAGTATAGGAGATCCATCGTATGAATTTATAAAATTATCCTGTATACCGATCGTATCGATAGAAAACACGATATCTTGATAAAAACAATAATAAAATTAATTAAATTAATTAAAGAAGTAATAGTTTTTTTTATATAATATCGTATGTGCAAATAAAATATATATTTAAAGTGGCAAACTTAAAACAAATGTAAGCTCTCGATGTTATTACTCGTGTAATTTTAATGAAGGCTATTGATAAAAAATCATCAAATAACTGATATTGAAATTTTTAATCCTGCAAATACATTTTGTATTCTTAATTTTTAATATACTTATATATATTCGTTGATAAAAATACTATTATACATTAAATCGTGTTAATGAATTTCACGGATCATACAGTCGCATAAAAAGAAAGATGAAATATTTCATAAATAATGTGATAGAATTAGAAAGTTATTAGTTCTAAAATAGGAAATCTCTGCTATAAACCGCCGCGATCCCGCGATCCCTACTCCGATCAGAAAGATATCGGGTAAGTGGGGGTTTTCCGAGGTGCGAGATATTCTTCCAATCTCACGGGATGACCTTCCCGCGGGAAGTTGGTGGGGATGTTGGGAGATCCTTCTCTGGACCACAGACACGTGCCACTTGTCATACTTTCGGAAGTACTTGCTTTCGGACGGTCCGAAGGGAGATTAGTACTAGATCAGGTGTGATCGATCAAAGAAGAAACGTGTGTTAAACCGCTTGCAGCTGACTCTCGTATATACTTTTTGCCGTACGAAATATTGCACCAATTAAATAATCATTTGATTTCAGTACGCGTAAATAGTGAT